TGAAAAAAGAGGAAACAGAATGGACAGAACAGAAAAAAATCTGGACAAAACAGAAATCTGGAAAAAAAATGAAAAATGATGTGTCTTTGATCTTCGTTTGCTGTGAGAAAGAGGAAGAAGAATCGAAGAAAAATGGAGGAAAAAAAAAAAAGACCTCTTCGTTCTTCATTTGATGTGAAGAAAGAGAACAAAAATCTGGAAGGAAAAAAAAACGAAAGAAAGAGGGAGGAGAATTGAAGAAAAACGAAAGAAAGAGGAAGGAGAATCGAAGAAAAACAATGGGAAGAAAAACGGCCTCTTTGTTCTTTATTTGATGCGAAGAAAGAGAACAAAAATCTGGGGAAAAAAATGAAAGAAAGAGGATGGAGAATCAAAGAAAAACGATGGAAAAAAAGGCCTCTTCGTTCTTCGTTTGCTACGAAGAAAGAGAACAAAAATCTGGAGGCAAAAAAAAATGAAAGAAAGAGGAAGAAGAATCGAAGAAAAAAGATGGAAAAAAAGAGGCCTCTTTGTTCTTCGTTTGCTGCAAAGAAAGAGAACAAATATCTGGAAAAAACAAATGAAAGAAAGAGGAGGAAGAAAGAGGAAGAATAATTGAAGAAAAGGAGGAAGAATCGAAGATAAACTTGCCAGAATGCGTTCTTCGAAGGAGAGAATCAGCACCTTCGAAGGAGTTCTTCAATTGCCAAACATTTCTCTTATGGAGTCTCTGTATTTCTGCGAAGGAGATAATCGAATAGAACCAGCAACCCTAATTTCAATTTGTTTCATGTTTTTTTTATTATACAAAAGATCCCCAAATTTATTTAATTTTTTAAAATAGACCAAAAAAAATTGCTCCGGTACCCTTTAAATTGCAAAAAATCTCATTTTTTACCCTGGTGTACCCAAAAACGTACTAGGATTATGCAGATCGTATAAAACATATCCGGTGCATTTTTGGCATACCCTGTACGCGTACCCGCACCCGCACCCACACCCGGTAAGTACTCGGTATTTATACGGCAACATTTTTGGAGTACCCGTGCTTCATAGTGTGTAGGAGAGATGCGGAATCGGTGGATCATTTATTTCTTCATTGCCCAGCATCTCTTTGGTCTGTGTGATGTTTAGTGGGTTGTTCCACGGATGTGCATGTACATGCTGTTAGTTTTTTATGGTGGGTTTGGAGGCAATAGGAAGGCCAAAACACTGCAGTCTTGCATTGTCTTTGCTATTTTTTGGACCATTTGGCTGGAGAGAAATGCAAGGATTTTTAATGATAAGGACTCAAAAGTGGAAGCTACGTTGGATAAGGCAAGGCATTTAGCTTTAGTTTGGGCTTGTGTGTCTTCCCCTTTCAAAGGAATTCCTCTGTTTTTAATTTCTAGGGATTGGGCGGCTGTTTTCCATTCTTAGTGGTAGAATGTTTGCTTTTTCATTTTTACTGTTTGGATTACTGCTTTGTTCTTTAGTCATTGTATGAGGACTTTGTCCTCCCCTCGTTTTCACCTTTTGTTATCAATAAAATTCTGTTGTTGCTGGTTCAAAAAGTAAAAAAGTCACTCTCAAGCTCAGCAATTATTCAACATGTCTTGTATGATAAGCATTGGGTAGGTCAACAGATAGCAGCACCAATGCTAGCAACATCACTACCATACATAGCTAAGGATGAAGCTTTAGATGATGCACCACCTTTGCCCCCACCATCATGGATTATGCATTTTCTATGAATGCCTTTATTTGAGCATGTGTGTATGAAATATGAATGTTAACTATGGTGTAGTGAATGTTATTTAGTTTAGGTGTTGATGAGGCCCTGTTTGGGGACTTTGGTTTTTAGCCAAAAAGCCACTACAAGTTGTCACATTACTCTCTCTATTTTTTTGCACATTTTTTCATAAAAAGCTAAAAAGCCAACTAAAATAGCCAATTCCCATGTCGTATAGTTAACTATTCTTGATGTTAAGGTTTAACTTAGTTAATTTGGGATGTAAGGAATTATGTTACTTAAATTGATTAAAGTCTTTAACTCTGTTAACATGTGTGGATGTTACTTTAATCTAATAAGCACTATGTATGTAATTTGAAGTTATGTATGGCAGACACATAATTATTCTTCTAGTAATTTAAAAGTAGAGTAAATATAGCCCAAAATGTTCAATAAATTGTAATATGCAAATATAAAATATAAAAATCGTGCACAATGGGATTTGGTTAGTTTCTTGTAATTCTGTAAATTTCATTCATTGAGGGCATCATTACAACATAACAAACACCAACAATATTAATGAGAATTCCATTCAAGGTATCCTTTTTAGCAAAATAACCAGACATTATAATGTTATGATTATTACTGGCTCCTTCATTGCAGCTCGATTACGACCAAAAATCATTCATCTCAACCAACCAAACAAACATATATATACAGGCATGAAAATGACTTTTTAATCTAAATCAATCAGAGAATATTAGGTAAACATGCATACGCTTGTTTGCCCCAATATAGAATCCTTGCCCAAAAATCTAGGTCAACCATTTGGTTGGTATCACAACACGGGGAAGTCATCCTTGGAAATCCCAATCTCAAGATCATAACAGGTAAAACTCAAGTAAAACATAATATAGTGTCTTAATTCAATGAAATTAAATGAAACAAAAGGAATTCAAACGCGCGCTAACATGTATGTTTCGTCCAAGGGGTGACTCAACTTACCCGAACTACAAGAGGTCAGAACATCTTTTTGCGAATTTGAAGCCATGAGTAACTTGGCAGATTGTCACGTCCCGCCAAGTTACCTAGACGTAATTGCCTACCAGGAGGAGTGTTGAAGGAGAGGAGGCTAATGGAAGATTCCGGAAGCTCCTGGAAGACTTGAGGAATGTGGGGCTATTGTACATAATTCTATAATGTACATAGAAAGATCTAGATTAGGTTCTAGAGCATTTAAATGAAGATTGGAAGAATGGAAGCAATAGAAGATTCTAGAACCTCCTAGAGAAATAGAGATGGTAAAGGACTCTTGTACATACATCTAGAAAGATGTAGATATTTGTATAGATATTTCTAGAGAGCATTCTAAACCCCTCTTGTAAGGATGGGGAAAGCTTCTATGAAGCTTCTACACCATTCCTTTCTTGTATATTCTAGAATATTCTAGGAAGACCTAAGTTGCCTATAAATCGGAGAGGGGCTCATTTGTTCCAATCCATCTAAGATTTGTACATTCTCTCCAAGTGAACATAAGAGCACTCTTTCAAACTCTCTTTGTGTACTAAGTTTCTCTTATTGCCAACTTTTGGGATAGGCTGACTTAGCATCATCAAGCAAGGCTTGTGATTGTCTAAGTGCCGCATGGAGTGCTTGGAAATAATCAAGGCCGTGATAGGCTGTTGTCTTTGTGTGTGTGTGTGTGTGAGAGAGAGAGAGAGAGAGAGAGAGAGAGAGATTAAATAGGGTTAAACATGAAATGATGAATAAATAGACATTGAATAAATAATCTGGAAGCTATCTACTGTTAAAAGACATTGAATTAATAGGGTTTAAACATGAAATGATGTAATCAAATTGCATAGCAGATTGATTCCACAAGCCATATTGCAGCATGATGAAACCCGAACAATATATTAACTCTGAGAATAGAGAAGATGAAAGCCTAACAGTGACAACTTGAATAAAATTCTGACAGACTAACAAGATATAAGCCATTGAATAAATAGAATAGAATGTTAAAATAATTCGGAAGCTATCCACTGTTAAAAGCCATTGAATAAAAAGGGTTTAAACATAAAACGATCTAAGCAAATTGATTCCACAAGCTATATTGTAGCACAATGAAACCCAAACAATATATTAACTGTAAGAACAAAGAAGATCAAAACCTGACAGGGACAGCTTGGATAAACTTCCGAAAGATGGACAAATTGAATGAGGGTTCCCAATCCCACAGGCTCTCACTGAATTGAAGCTGAGGCTTTCTTAATTAGCCATAACCACTGAATGGTGAGAAAGATACAAACACAGACTTCAATGGGCCACCACAATCCTGACTTCAATGGCTCAATTACTTGTTCGATGCAGTTTCAAGATAGTAACCAAATTGCGGATGACGGATTGGCTAATTTGTCATTTGCAATCAACCTGCTGCCATAAAAAATTAGTGAGTTGGTTAAAAAATATTTTAAATTATATAGTAAACTAAATATGATCCATACACTTCAATCAATTATATAACATAATTCCTCACATCCCAAGGTAATCAAGTTAAACCCTAACATTTAGAATAGTTAACTAAATGACATCAAGATGCATTAACACCCATCAACACCTAAACTAAATAATTTCCACTACACTACTGTTAATATTCATATAGTAATGTTCAAATATGGGCATTCATAAAAAAATGCATAATCCATGATGTTATTATGTGCGGGCAAAGGTGGTGCATTATCTCATGCTTCGTCCTTAGCTATGTATGGTAGTGATGTTGCTAGCACTACTACTTGTGCAACAGATTTTCTGGTGGGTGGTGGTGGTACTATTGGTTGCCCTACCCAATGCTTGCCATACAAGCCATGCTAAATAATTGCTAAATTTGAGAATTAATCACTGCCACTATAGATTTGAAATTGAATAGTTGCTGAATTTTAATTACCTGGGTTTGAATTTTGATGTATCAGCTATAAATTACCTGGGATTTTGGTCTATTCACACCCCCCAAACTTGTTCATCTCCATCAGTTAGCACTAGTAAGGACTTAAGAATGGGAAGTGAATTCATTAATTGTTAGGAAAGTAACCTTCGCTTGGAATAGTGCTTCGCCTTGTATATGAAGTTGCCTTAGCTTCTATCCCTATTCAACAACTAATTTCTTGTTGGACTTTTACTTGCACACGAATGCTAATCTATGAGTCTTTCCTTTTTCTTTTCCATGGCTTATTTTGTTTCTATTGCTTATGACTTCATTAGGAATTATTTAATGATGACTTGTTTAAGCTCTTGTATGTATTGCTTTTGTTAGATGAAAAGATTGGTACGGCAGAGAACAAAAGTCCAAAATCTGAATCATCCTCTATGGACACACAATCAGGACAAGGACCAACTCCTACAGGAGCTGGATTTTCTGCAAGTCCTTTCGATTTCTCAGCTATGACGGGCCTACTCAATGTAACTTATCTTCTTCATCTTCTCCTTGTTATTTAGATGAATTTAGCATTTATATTATTGCAAATTGAGGTTAACAAGGCCCATGTGGTAAAGTTTTTGTTCGATGTTGGTGCATATATAATCTTTGGCTGACACTATCTATTTTATGTTTTGGATCGTACATTTTAAATCGTAGTACACTTAATTTCCAAAACCGTGAATTTAGCAATGCAAATTGATCCCAATTTTTTTCTTATTTGTTTTCTTAAAGTTTTTGTTTACATACGAAAAGTGGCGTATTGAAAACTAACAATACATCTCTTGAGGTAACTGTTATTGATGCAGCTATTGCATCTGCTACCCTAGCTTCCTAGAGTGAGTATCTGACTTGTTTTCCTCAGTTTATGTTCCTTAGAGAAGAAAAGATAAATATAATGAACTAAAATCTAGGGAGAATGGACATTATGGTTTGCTTGGCCTGCTTATGGAGGAGAGTCTTGCCACACTTAAGGGGGTGTGCCGAGGATATAATTTAAATAATTAGTTATCCCTCTCTTTTGGATGAGTTGATGTTAGTAATTTGACAAGAAACATCAACTTTCGAATGTTAACCCAAAACTGGTAACATTTGAATACACCGCCACCCCAAAAAAATATGGTATTTAAATTCCTACTGCACACGCCCCTCCCCCAGCCTCTCCCCTTTAATAAAAACTCCCTTTGCATTTTCGCAAGTCATTATCAGTATTTTCCCAACTAACTCCAAACTTATGTATCTTTTCATCACTAAATAATTCCCCTAGCTCAAAGTTGTTGGCATGCTGGTCATAGAGTTTAAGTTGTATTTTGTTTGGGTTGACATATTGCCTTTCTTAGCTCCAGTTGGCGGGGAGCGACTCTTGTTCAGCAACTAATGAGATCTCATGGTGATGTTCAAAACACACAAAAATCTAGACTAACATGTTGTATGTTTGTACTGTGGTTCAAAGTCACAAATCTTCATGCAGAGATTGGAACAACTTTTGTAATTAAAGTTGATGTTTGTTACTAATTTGGTATTACATATAACGAAATGAATTGAAATATTCTACCAATGCCCTTTCACTCTTCAAGGTTTTTTAATCAATATATGCTACATTGTACTTCTCAAAAAAATAATAATAATAATAATAAATAAATAAAAATCAGTCCATACTACATTGTTGCCTCAACAATCTGCTTTTTTTTTCTTTTTTTTTCAAAAAAAGAAATTCAATGAATCTGTCTCATTTAATGCTTTGCTTCTAATTATTAATGCTGTGAGAAATATAGGACCCAAGCATTAAGGAATTAGCCGAACAGATAGCACTAGACCCTTCATTTAACCAGATGGCAGAGCAGCTCCAAAAGACTTTTCATGGTGCGCCAGCTGAAGATGGCATCCCTCAATTTGATTCGCAACAGTACTACTCCACAATGCAACAGGTTATGCAAAACCCCCAATTTATGACAATGGCTGAGCGCCTTGGTAATGCGTTGATGCAGGATCCGTCCATGTCCACCGTGTTTGAGAACCTGGCTAATCCTTCACACAAAGACCAGCTTGATGAACGAATGGCGCTCATCAAAGAAGATCCTGCTTTGAAGCCTATTTTAGAAGAGATAGAGACAGAAGGTCCAGCTGCAATGATGAGGTAGCAAATATTATTATGCTTGTAGTTTCATCATTATCTAGTTGTATTTGTCATTACATCACTCATGCAATGATATATGATATGGTTGTATGAGCTTGTAATCGTTTTGTGCGTTATTAATATATATATATTTTTTTTAAAGATTCTAATTAATATTTTATGATGTATAAATGATAATATGCATTGCATCTTTGACCATACCATAGCTTACATTTTGTGATGTACATTTTATATGGAAAAAACATGTGTATGTACCGCATATACTGTCTTAAATTATACCATAAGATCTAAATAACTAAAGTCCAAGCTAGTTTTGGCTTTATTTTGCATCCAACGAAACAATTAAGCCTTCTATTTTCTAGTTCTAAATGTGTGTGTGTATATTTACCTTGTAGATTGTAGTGAAAGAAACATTGTCATATGTATAAATAAATGCGTCTCTCTTTCTTTCAAAGATTCAAGTGTGTGTATATTTATCAGTCTTTCTTTTTCAATTTATTATTTGAAAGAATAATGAGAATTTTTACCTTGTAGATTGTAGTGTGTATATTATCTAGTGTGTATATTTATTCAAGTGAAAGTAAATATCAGTCTTCAATTTATTATCTAAATGTGTGTGTATATTACCTTGTAGATTGTAGTGAAAGAAACATTGTCATATCTTTGTAAATGTGTGTATATTTACCTTTTATTTTGGATCCAATGTATTTACCTTGTCGATTGTAGTGAAAGAAACATTGTCATATCTTTGTATAAATAAATGAGTTTCTCTTTCTTTCAAGCATTCAACTGAAAGTAAATATCAGTCTTCCTTTTTCAATTTATTATTTAAAAGAATAAAGAGAATTTTTTTTTGTCTAAGGTAGATTTAATTTGTAGTTCCAGAAAGCAACCTTTTTGTTCTCCTTATTCAGCTAGTTATATTTTCCCTCTCCCTTTAGAGTTGAGGGCAAGTTTGGGAAGTTAATAAAATAACCAAAAATCCACCAAAAAAGCCAAAATACTATACAAAAAAACATTCTCTTTCCACACTACTTTTTTACACTTTTTTTTGTAGAAAGACAAAAATCATCCCAAACATACTAGTTTTCGTACTTCATATTTTAGCTAAAAAGCCAAAAAGTTTGTAAAATAGCATATTCCCAAACCAACCTTGAATATTGAAAAAGTTCATAAAGGTTTTACCAAGTGCACAAGGCTCGTACATACAATATCTAGTTCATGTAGAGAGGTAATAGGTAGGCAAGCTTATGAAGCATGGGTACATCAACAAACATGTTATACCCGTATCGGGTACTTACTAGGGTATGGTACTTCGTATGGTACTTCTGCTACGTATTGGGTCCACGAAATACGTATTTAAATTTTTTCTTCTTAATTTTTGGCGTATCCAAACGTACTTAGTATATACCAAAGTTGTATCGTACCTTAGTCGAAGTAATTTTTTTTGTGCTACAAAAATAAAATTTCTTTCACTAGACTTCTTATTTTTTATTTTTAGTTTTAAAATTAGCATGATTTTAAAATTAAGTTATGATTTATACGTTATTTAATATGATGATATTTAATTTTGGTTTATACCTGTACTTTTGACATTAAATTTTAATTGGCGTACCTATATCGTATCAATACCAGTACTCATATTTGTACCCATGACCTTAGGAAAGTTTTTTACTTTCTAAAACTTTTATCTTATGTTATTATTAAAGAAAAAGAAAAGAGAATCATTTATAGACGATGTGACAGTTTGTTTTAGCTGAAGATTTTGTTTTCGTGTTATTTCTTTCTATTACAATAGCTTTAGCTTGGTTGGCTATTTCCATCGAACAAAATCTTTGGAGTATGTACGTTTGGGGCTTTGGTTGGTAGAATTTCTTCGACAAGCTATGTTACATGCTATGTTACACGGACTCTTCAAAATAAATCAAATGCTCGTGTCGGACATTCGACACTCGGACACGGGTATGAGATACGTGTTAGATACTTTTTAACTGATACTTCTTATATCATTTTATATTAAACTATTATTATATGTACATATTGTTGTATAATTGCTATAAATATCTTTTTGTCACTATTAAGTTACATATAGTACCATTTTATCTCACATACTTGATTAAAAATATTAAAATATGATATTTTTTTGCCGAGTCCGCGTACCCTTAAATTTATGGTTTGATGGGTCCGACATCTAAATACATACCAGCACCTGACACCTATACCCAAGTCCATGTAATATAGGTTACATGGACTCGGGTACGAGTATTGGGTGCATATAGTGTCCAAGAGTCAGACTTACATAAACTTTAATCTTAGGATTTGGGGATACATATCCAAGAGTTGGATATGGGTATGGGGATGCATTATAAACACATATATTGTATATTGTATAATATTCTTGAGAGGGAGATTTATGATCTGGAATTGGGCCGAGGTAATGGCCGAGCAAGTTGAGAGCCTAATGGTGCATGGGGCCGAGATGACCGGCGATCCGCCCGGAGATGGGCTGCCAGGACTTGGGCCGGGCAGGAGTTGGGCCAAGTATGTGCCGCCCCAGACCTTAAGGAAGCTGCTCGGCAAGGCAGTGCTCGCTTAGACCGAGCTGCTTGAGCAGGCGATGGTAGAGCCAGTCAAGCTGAACGACCGGCGCCCGGAAAGGCGTGGTCAGCCGAGGTAATCGTTTGATCGGCAAGAAGGCCAACCATAGGAGGTGCCCCGGCTAGGCTTTGCCGAGATGCTGCCTAGCCCGGTCTTCCTTGGGCTTAGCCAGTGAAGTGCTTGGGAATGAAGCACAGCACGGCCGTGGATAGAGAAGCTCGGCTGCCGAGCTCCAGCTGAGAAGGCAGGCAGTTGAGATTAGGTGATGTTCAGCAAGGTTTATGCCGACAGATGGGATAGCGGAGCTACGTGTCAGGAGATGATTGGGAGTGGATATGGGGCGCAGAAGGTATATAAGCATGTTTGCGCCCCCCATACGCGACAGACGAACATTCTGTAAGGAAATTCTTACACTCAAACACTCCTCTCTCTCTCTCTATCCTAAGGTGTGTGCTAACTTGATCGTCGGAGGGTTTTTCCGGCCACACACCGCCGGGCAGCTCACCGTTATTTGCTCGCAGGTGATTGGACATAAACGGAGCTCGAAAGAAAGGAGTACGGGCTTGCAGGAATATTTGCTCCCCGTACAATTGGCGTCGTCTGTGGGAAACTTGACAGACAAAACCTTGTCTTCCAGGTTCATCTGATCGCCGTCCATGGCGAACAACGACGAGTTTCCGTTGTCTGCCATAGACGGAGCCACCCCGGAGTTCACCCAAAGGAGAGAAGGCCCTCCCACCATCCATCCAATGGCGGACTTGGGGACGCCCACCAGAGGACAGTCATGGTCATTCACGGAGTCCAGACGGTCACCGGCGGAGGAGAGACTCACACGCCAGACGTCTGGAAAATAAGTTGAGGGACCAAGACGCTGTCATCCGGCGAATGGCGGCGGAGATGGAGGATCTGAAGCGGCATGTCAAAGGTAAAGGTGTAGCTGGAGTGGGTGACCACAGTGAGCGCACCCCATCCCGCCGTTCAGGCGGTCAGAGTTGGCGACGCACTCAGTCCATATCTATTACCAGAAATTACCAGGTTGGTGATTCCGACGCGCATGCAGAAAAGTCTAGCACGCAAGACAGCACCTACAAACCCTCATGTCCGGAGACGACGTCGAGGTACTCTTACTCCGCTCATTCAGAGGATTTGCGGGCGGTCTTAAAGGAGCGGGCTCGCCGGCGCGAAGCTCAGAGAATACCGGCGTTCCAGCGGCTATCCTACGGGGTTCACGCCAGCGAGGAGGTTGGAATGCCTCCACCCCACCAGGCAGTGCCACTCTTTGAAGATACGGACTTGGCCAGGCTGAGTGCCACCCTTTTTTCCCTGGAAATAGAAACAACACCGCTTCCGGCAGGCTTCCACCAGCCTAAGTTCACATTCTACGACGGAAAAACTAATCCTTACATGCACGAAAGCCACTTCCGACAGGTTATGGCCGGACATAGGCGAAATGATGGACTTATGTGCCTGATCTTCCCGTCGAGTTTAGGCGAGCTGGGCTTGAAGTGGTTCGAGAGGTTGCCGGAAGGGAGCATACAACAGTGGAATCAGTTGGCCGAAGCCTTTGTGACGCACTTCAAAACCAACACAAAAACACCAAAGGAGGTCGATCATTTACTTAGTGTGAAGATGGAACCGAGCGACACACTGAAGGCATATAACTCCAGGTATTGGGAGACCTTCAACGAGATCTTGGATTGCCCGGTCAACCTTGCAATCACTCAATACAAGCGTGGTCTCCCGGTCGGACATAGACTGCGGGACTCGCTCACCATGCACCAACCGACGTCCATGGGCCATCTCATGCAACGCATCAATGAGCATATCCGGGTCGAGGATGATGCGTCAGCATCTACCGTGAAGTCAACCCTGGTAGCAACAGACAAGAAGACGGCAGGCAAAGTGCACGCAGTTGGGCGAGAGTCCAGCCGCTCAAGTGACAGAGCAGAGGAATCAGACCGTGGCTCGAATCGTAAGAACCGTGGTAGAGGACGTCGGAACGACCGAGATGACTACGCCCGAGATGATGTTGCGGATGCCGACAGAAGATTGAAGGCAAGAACTAGCATCACCACGGTCTTCAAGATTCCAATTTATCGCATACTTCGTGAAATCCGAGACGAGGGGTATGTCCGGTTTCCTGCTAAGTTGGGCGATGGACAGAAGGGCTACAATCCGCGGTATCGTTGCACATTCCACCGGGAGAGAGGCCACCGGACTGAGGATTGTTTGCCTTTGAGGCAACACTTAGAAGAGCTGGTCGCGGCCGGGCACCTCGACCTTTACATTGATGGCGGCGTAAAGTCGAATCAGGCTCCGGTCGATCCCAGGGGACAGGATGACCGAGACGCACCACCACAGGGAGTTATTAATGTCATCCACGGCATCGTGGAACCGGAGCG